TTCACCAAGTTATACAAATTTTATTAAATTTTCAAAGCGAATCTTATTTAAAAATATATAGCATAAAAAAACAAAATATTAACAAACCTCGTAAAGAACAAGAAGAAAATATTACATTTTTAATTATACGTGGAAAAAATATAAAAATGTCGTTTAATAATTATTTACTGACATTAGGACCTCGTTTTTGTGCTAAAAAGTTGTAAGACTTGTCATTGTGATGTATAATATTATTTATTATTATTATTTGTTTTTGACTATAGTATTACATTATTAAAAATGTTGGGAAATTTTTTGAACTGCATGAACTTAATTTATAAACTTATAAATTATAATTTGTWTTTTTGTGTGACCTACTAGGTATATCAATATTTCCTACTTGGTAAACGTATTAAATTATTATTATTTCGATTTTATTATTGTTATTTTCTTTAAATCCTACATTATAAAATATTTATTTTACACAATCTAGTTGTGTTTGATCAATTATGAAAAGGTAAAAACTGCGCAGTCGTGTTGTGTTTTTTCAGGTAAAAAGTACTCAATCGTGTTACTCTTTTTTTTCATGTACATAGTTATATTTTTATACAACAGCAATATTATGTATATGTTTTGCTTAACAGTTTTTGTGCAAAACGGAATGCTATATCTTCAGGTATACCATTGTATATTGGTACAATGTCACGTAAAAATATTAGACTTATACATGGCAACCGTTGTTTGTAGATAGGTCTGTGTTAATATTATGTTCGTCATCGTATGATAAATATGTATAAGTATTAATTTATAATTTCAGTGCACCATTGGTCAGGATACCTACGTGTTATGTTTGTAACGTGTGAACAGTGAAGGGTTTATATTATAAAATATTTATTATTCCAATAAGCATGTATTGTTGTGACTTGTGAGTAGTGGCTATACAACAGTTACAATAGAACAATAAGAAAATTATTAAACATTTAAAAATCTATGGACTATGACTATACGTTTAAATATCCTTAAGTGTTAAACATTTAACATATTTAAACGATTTGTTAATACATTAATAGGTATATCGATAGATAAATCAAATACATAATTAATCAAATAAGTCCATTGATATAAATTATTTTTATAATTTATAATGAGAATATTTCTTTTTGTAGATTGACATATTTACAGAGTAATATTAAAAAAACGGATATGTATTAACTCCACGAAAATATGAAATACTTAGGTATTTGGTATGCAGGATAGTCTATTCTATTCTTAACTGATATCTGATTTTAATAAGTTAAAGGTCATTTTGAAGGATTCTTCGTGCAGTTTTGTTCAAACATTTACTAATTTATGTAATAATGTATTAATATTCCTACAACGAAAAAAATAAAATTAATATAAAGACGAAAATGCAAGGTGGCGATAAAAAAATTAATAACGTAGCGATCAAAAACAACAGATTACTTGTGCTAATATCAAATAGTTATAAAATACTGAAAAAATTAACCGGAGTTGCATAAATTAAATCGTTAAGAATGTATAAATTAAAAGTTAACAAAAAAAAGAATTAACAAACAATTATATTAATTAAAATCACTGTACTTTTTRTTTTCTCTGTTTGACCTATGCGTAATATCGAAAATTTGAGTTCAGCAGAACCGCGTCCGTGCGCGTTATTTATAGCTCTCGTATTTAGTATTAGAGTTAATACTTAATTATTGGTCTATTATTAATCTTAAAACTAATAAAATGATCTGTGTAATTTGTATGTTGAATTATTTTTGATATTTGTATGTATGTTAAAGTATATAAAATATTTGAATTCAAAATCTCTTTCATTACACATAGCTTTAAAATAAAAACATCGTGAAAAAGACAACGTGCAAATAGTGCACCGACAATATTGGCATCCTCATAAAATCGGCATCCTATAGTATGCTACTGTTCCTGATTGACTTGTTTATCATTGTTTACCAACTCATAACACTAGCATGTTTAGGCAATTATACATTTGGGTCAGCTAGATTAATAAATTAGTCATCCAATATGTATTGGCTCTTTTTTTATTTAAAAATCAATGTATATATACCGTATGATGAAACAAAAAAAATATTCAATTAATTATAGATGAAGATATTGTGAACGAATATGATCTTAACTTAGAGGACGTTATACTGTTACCGTCATGAGTTGATTTCGTTTTACTAAAGCGCAACATAACAAAAACTGTTTTCGCGCGCAACAACTTTACACCCTCTGTATTCAAAGTTTAATTACGAAATTCCACTACGCATAGAGATGAATTTTATCCGTGAAGAAGCATTTTTATTAATTGGATGACATAAATACAATTAAAGTTATCAGTTTGAGAGAATATTGGGTTTTTTTGTCGTTTTTTTTTTTTCACTTAATTATTGGTTAGTGCTAACAAATAGGTAGGTAATAAAAACGCAAAGTCACGAATAAACTTCTTCCCTATGCGTTGCTATTAAAGTGACAATTTTTAGTGTTTAATAAAAATCAATTAATATAATATCTTTATAAATTCTGTATGGGTGGTAGGTACTCCTTTCACTAAAAATTACTTTCCTCTCTCGCCTGATAATAATTGAATTCTTTTCATCTAAGGTTTCACTTTTAATACTTTTAGGAGTAGGTACTATTTTAAAACTTTTTATGTTTGATATAATAAACACTAAAATATAGTATATAACTAATATAATGATAATAAAACGAATAAAAGTATATATTCGTTTTTATGACAATCTCATCTGTTTATTTATTTCTGATTTTAAGTATAGGCCGTCGAGTAAATTTCTATAAAAAAAATAACTAAGTACATTACTAAATACTAGTTACGATATTAAGACTTAAAAGGTKGCAACTAGAATACTTTTTGTTACCTAAAAACAAAAATAGCTGTGTTAAATTACTTTTTTAAATCTGATGTAACTATAGATATAATGTCGTTACAATTTACATTTGACATCTTTAAACATAGGTATAGATTTAAAAATAAATTAAATAGACSWTGCGCGATGGTGCGATACCGCATATACAGTAGATCTAGTACCTATCCACTAAGTAACTTTGCCAAGAGAATAGTTTTAGTCAAAACTTAACAATATTAAAGTATATATAAGGTTCA